ACAAACACACACACAGAAACAAAGAGTAAAGGTTTTTCGCTTTGTCTGTTCGTGTTTTGTTTTGCAGGTCTGGTCAGAGGGTGCAACATCATGTCTCAACACTGTCTCAAGTTTTTAAAATACACCATGTGTGTCGCCAACTTCCTTTGTTTTGTACGTATCTGCATCACATTCACAGATGTTACATGTTAGTTTCCATTTTTTTTTTTTTTATCAACCAGGGGATTTTTTTTAAGATGACCAGGTGCTACGGGGAAATACCAGTTCAGCATGTAACATAGAAATGATAATCCAATGATATCTACATGTTTTATCTGAGCACGTGTTAGCGGAAAACGAGTTAGCAAAGTGGCAGAAGAGGTTGAATGAATAGATAAATGGTTTAAATGTCCAGATTGTGCCACTTTAAGTGATAGTGGTGCACACAGTTCAGAGCCTACTGACACAAATCAGAGGTGGGGGAGGGATGTCTATTCTTTAGTTTAATAAAAGTATTAGTGAAATGTACCCAAAGTAACAAGTGACACAGGTGAGCTTGTTATTGTTATATTATTGTCTATACATTCTATGATTAGGTTGTTTTAATGCATTCATATGTAAGAAGCATATTATGTTGCAGCTGTCGAGATAAATCAAATACACTGCAGTGTAGATCATTTTCATCATATGTTCTTCTCCTTCTAATATCTTCTGTGAATGTTAAATCAAAGTAATGGAGTCAAAACGACAATATGTCACGCCGTTATAAAATGAAGAAGTACTTGAGTAAGTGTGTTACACTCCACCATCAGAACAGAGTGTCCATGAGCAAGGCACTGAAGCCCTAGTTGTTGCAGTGGTGCTGCTCAGTGAAAACACTGTTAGATGGATGTTTCTGTGACGATGTAATGAGGAACCTGTGGTGCACGTTGTTTTGCGGTCAGATGTGCGGCGTGGCGGTTCTGGGCTTTGGCATTTTCATGATGGTGAGTTTCAGGATGGCCGCACTCCTCCCCAGCCTGGCCAGTCTCAACATGGCCAACTTACTGCTGATCAGTGGCATTGTCATCACGTGCGTGTCCTTCCTGGGGTTCCTGGGTGCTCTGAAGGAGAACCGCTGTCTCCTCCTGATGGTGACACACACACACACACAGAAACTTAACACCCCAGTATGAGTAGTTCAAGTGATTGTGTAGCTCTTCTAGGTTTTTTTTTTTTACTTGTCATGTTCAGTTATTAAAGCAGCTTTGTTGTTGTTACACATTTTATCTGACATAGCTACACTTTGTGGTGTAGTGGTACTCACCTTGGTTTGGGTAAGGCCCTCTCAGAGTTCCATGCATTTTTGAGTTAATTTGTACACACCACACACACACACACACACACACACAAACAAGATGATGATCTATAGCTCAGCCAAACAGCACTGCAACGATTGAAGTAACAGCAACCAAAACAAGATTGCACTATAAACATTTGGCAGGGCTGCATCAAGTGGTGGAATGTTTTTGTCATCAGGTTCCCAGATCTCAGTGATGCTGTTGCAAATTATTATTATCACAGATAAGACCAACGGGTACCACCAAGACAATTAGACCCAAGTTGCAATAAACATTTATTTTCTGGATATATTATTTGGGAATGTCAAATTGACAAATAAAAATGCTAATGGGTTTGAAATATACCCTGTTGACAGTATTTCCTGCTGCTGTTCCTTCTGATGCTGGTGGAGCTGACTGCAGCATGTGTGCTACTCTTTTTCGAGGGACAGGTAGGGTGCATCCGTCAGTTGTTTCACTGTGAGCTGTTCTTAAAGTCCCATGAAGAAGCTTATTAAACCCCCTAAAACTCTGCTTTGTTCCTCAAAATTACATGTTCACAAGGTTTGTCTCTGAAAAAATCCCCTCATGACTAAATGTCTTAAATATAACTTCACACCTTCCTTCCTCATTTCATAAGTGGGATTTATTTACTGTATATGCTAATATGACCCTGGCCCGGTCACACATACACAAATGTTTCAGTTGTGAATCTTGGCCTCCTGTTTACTCACACTCAGTGAGGGCGAGGGGGCGAATGAAAAATTCTCTTCCACATGGAGTTCAACTTTTGTGAACTTTCACCCACAATATTTGCTTTAAAGGTTCAGTGTGTAGAATTTAGTGACATCTAGTGTTGAAGTTGCATGTTGCAGCTGAACACCCCTCACCTCACCCTCTCCTTCCAAACATGAAAAAGAACCTGTGGTAGCTTCAGTTGTCATAAAAACTCAAAAGGTGTTTAGTTTGTCCAGTCTGGACTAATGTAAAAAACATGGCGGCCTCAGTAGAGAGGGTCCCCTCAATGTAAATATAAAGTATTTAAATATAAAGGACCTTTTCTGGGGTAAAGAAAACTACAATTCATACAATTTAGATGAAACAAACTAGTGAAAACATCATGAGGATTATTCTACATTACATTTCTGTAAAAATAGATCCCTTTCACCTAAATCTTACACACTGGACCTTTTAGTCCGCATGTGTGACCGTGCCCTCAAGGTGGAAATACAAAGCCATGCTAAAATGTCTTTTATCATATAGAAGGTATAAGGTGGACATGTTAACTTGTTTAAAAATGAATTAAAAATCACGTTTAGACGACTGTATAACCTGCAGCTCTCACCTCACTGGTTAGATTGCTGCTATGATCAAAGAGGATCTCAACAAGAGTTTGAAAGATTCCAAAGAAGGTACTAGAAATTCAACAGATGTACTGAATGAGTGGGATCTGGTTCAGAATGAGGTGAGTGTGCCCGAGCAGACATAATGACAGTCCACTCAGTACAGTAACTATAGAGATCTCAGTCTTGTGTTAAATATCTTTATTACTTCTCTGTGGATGGTTTGTTTCAGCTACTCTGCTGTGGAGTCCAAAATGTGTCGGACTGGGGAGACAAGGTGCCGAAATCTTGCTGCGAGCAAGAATGTGACATTGCCGAGCCTCCTTACAAGGAAAAGGTAAACACAGAAGTAGATTAATATCCAGAGGTCATATTATCACATTTGACTCTGGGTTTAATCTTACATGTATGTTCTCTGTTTGCAGGGTTGTTTGGACAAAATGAGGATCTTGTTTGAGGATAACTTTCTTCTCACTGGAATTTCTGTCATCATCCTCTGCATTATTGAGGTGAGCTGATGGTGGACGTAATGGATGTATTTAAGATGAGTCTTTATTAAGAATACAAGATTACAGCACAGAACTATATAAAGTAGAATAGAATACAGACAATAAAGTATTAGGTCTAAAATACAAGTGAAGATTTAAATCAAGTAAAAATATAAATGTATTGTCAATGAAATAAAACTATGTGTAACGAATACTTAGACACAGTGGCGGTAAATGGGATTAATTGATCAAGGAGTAAGTAATATGGCATACTGCAAATTATATTGAAATTGAAATATTGCACATTATATTGAAATGTAATGACATCAAATATTGCAGGATATTGAAAATATTGCACATAAATTAATGTGACGATGAACAAAAAAACTATTGTTACACAAATTGCATGTGAATGGTGTTATTCCACATGAGTGGTAATATTGCACTATTATACATGTTGTTGTAAGAGACTCAAGTTCCACTCCCAGGACAGAGCCATCTTTCCTAATGAGCTTGTTGAGTCTGTTTGTGCCAGCTGCCTTTACCCTTTATTAAATGTAACCACCAAAGTGCTAGGCAAGAGGTTGTTGTTCATTTCTCCACTCAACATCTAAGCACATGAATTGTGCTTTGAGTTTCTACAAAGGAACTTGTGGAGGAAACAGTAGTGTTATTAGCACATCTCTGTAAAAAAAAGCTCTGATAGACCCACCTCACTGGGGACTGTATGACCATGGACATCCCACTGCGCAAAAATGAAGCCAAAATATCCCGGACTGCGGCACAGTAGTGATCATGGGGCAGAGCTGTGTTGGCCAAGTCTTGTCAATACACGACCAGTCAATGCAATCTCAGCTGTCAGTCATGTCTCACTGCTTTTTTATAGCAAGCTTTCAGAAGCATGAGCACTAGAACATACATCAGTGTGATGAGATCAACTTAAAATGACAGATGTCATCTTCAAAAAATGTATTTGATGTATAAAAAGACTTTTTAGTTTGGTCCATGTCTTATTGGGACACTAATGGTGGTCGATAAATACAGGACAACTATAACAATGTTTATTCTGCGACCAAACAACAAAGAAATAATTTAAAAATCAGTTAAAAGCGTTAAGAGCTGTTGTGTGCAGAACCAAACATCAGGTAACAAGTGTATGTCATGTTCAGTATTTGTCTGTTCTTGTTTGTGACAGGTTTTGGGGATGTGTTTCGCCATGACGCTCTTCTGCCACATCAGTCGATCTGGACTGGGCTACAAGTTATAGACCAGTGGAGGGCAAACAGTGGCCTATGGACCAAATTAGGCCCCCCTCAGAAAACTATTTGGCCGTTCAAAGAGAGCTGAACATTTTGCTTCATTATTCACAAATCTACTGTTGGCAAATGTAAATAACTGTTGATTAAATGTTGTCCCTTTTCCGTGGCGACAAAAACAGTAATATTTTTAACCATAAATGACAAAGGTCTCTATGTTGAGTTCGAGTTAATCATCAATTACAATTTAAATCTAATTGTGTAAAAATATTTGTTTTTTTTCAAAAATGTTTTACAGCAACACAAGCAGCACTCACTAGCTAAAATCTTGCTCAATTGAAAAAATATTGTTAATACAACTGAAACAGGACATGAGGCTGCATCTCCAGTGTAGCTGTAGAACATTGTCCTTGCTCACAGTAACACCTGCTGATGACATGTTATAGACTATATTCACTTGTAAACAACAAATCTTTTACCTTTGTATTTCAGAATTATTTATTGTACAGGTTTGTCTTTCACAGTTTTCTGAGATCAGAATCATGTTTAATATTTTTGAACACAGCGATGAGAGCTGCATTGTGTTCCATTTTTAACTCCGCAGACTTTCTCGTGTACATGCAAAACTAAAAATGTTTCAGATGCCGTCCAAATCACATGATCTGATGAGATAAGGCTGTGTTAAATGCTATGTGTGTCTGTGCAAACATCTCCACACTTATTACATTTCATCAGGAATAATGTTTTAATAATTACAATCTATATCACATTATTCCACAAACATTAACTGACAAAATTAAAAAAAACTATAAAATACCAATAAAATATTGTTTACAGTATTAAAAACTGTATCCTCCATTTTGACACATCTACATGTTCTTATAAGCGTTTCCTGTTTAGCTCAGTTCACCGATCCGTGGTGAAGCTGTCAATTTAACCACTTCCTCTTCTGATCCTGTTCAACCAACACTTCTTCTCTGTCAGCCATTCGTGTTATATGTTCAGTTCCCCCTTGTTAATCACATTTAAGACAAAATATGTTCTTTCAAAATACAGAAACAAACTAAACACGATTCCGGCCGTCTCACAAGAGATGTGCGAAGCGAGCAGAAAAAGTTAAATACAAGCAGGTAACACAGAAGAATTTATTTATTTAAAGAATAAATCCTGCATCAATATTTTAAGACAAAAAAAAAAACTAAAAAAATACTAAGATTTCCTTTACACTTTAAAATAATTTTGTTCTTTTTGAAACATCACACAAAAAATAGAAACAAGTACAATTTTTTTAATTAAAAAATGTAACTGTACACAGCAGAATATACCATTTATTGCAAACGGAACAACCCTGACACCTCAGTAACTATAAACACAAGTATTGTAATTCACCTACAGATATGAAAAGACAAAAAAAAACTATTCTGATACAGCTCTCATCCTCTTGTCACTCAGACAATCAGCTGTGTTAAGACTGGTTTTCTCCTCCAGTGGCCCTGTGAGTCTCCAGAGGCAGCACAGTATCTTGAATGAGGCAAGACGCCGTTCAGGTCCATTTTTACAGGGATTTCCAGTGAGTGTGGCACTTGCTTCCCTCCTCCTTTTCGTTACCTGATGAACACAGTCGTCTGTGACAGTCTTTCACAGTCCACACTAACAAAAAACTGAGCCACAATGATTAATTGTCCTTTGTGAACAGGCAAATACAGAGTCCTTGGCTACAGCAAGTCCCTCTGAGCAACGATGCACTCAAGTCACCGATTCACAGGAAACCTGGTCCGACATTGTTAAAAAGTATTCCTGATCTTGCGTTCTGATTTTAAAAAAAAGAAGACATTCTGTCCTTGCTATTGCTCAAAGATTATACAAAGCAAGTGCCTTGTTTAGAAACGATGGGTTTGTTTCATTCAGCAGCCTCAGACCATTCAAATACTTAAAAGCTACACTTAAATATCACAGGACAGGCTCAAGTTTATCACACCACTCACCAAAATAACAAGGTACTTTTACAGTATTCTGAAGTGTTGCCATTAATAAACGCTATCGTAGTGAAACCCTATGAACAAAATGTTGCAAAAACTACGTTGTGCTAAAGATGTCTAAAAGAACAGCCATGACAAATGCCCCTGCAGTAAACGGTATCAGAATGAAAGTGATTTAAAGGGACAGACAGTACCGTGCCTAAAAAAACCATTCTTGTTGGAGAGGCCGCGGAGATGACATGAACGTTTCAAAGAGTGATCGGTCTGTGGAAACATTTCGTCCACCTCAGAGAGCCGTGGTCATCAATAAATAACAGCAAGACAAGCACTGTCTTTTTCAACCCCAGTTCATAAATGCCCACCCCCCACACCTAACCATGATCCACCAGTATAACTGGAATGAGTAAGAATAGTTCGGGTTACCAGCCCCTAGTTTCACAACACTAAAGTTTCAAGGTTTAAACATCTAATCTGCCGACAGTTCGTCAACAACTGACAGACATAAACATCTGTTCCACTTCATGCTCAGTCACATCACATACAGTATTAAACAGGAAGCCAGTCAGCAGAGCACCCAACACCGCCTAAGACTTCACCCTCACAGCTGCTGCAAGTCTATTGACACTCGAGTGTGACGCTAAAAACCTTGTATGCATCATAAAGCTAATACATTGAGCTCTGAACTGATCAACTCCAACCAGAGGAGCAACCAGTGCTTGAACAACTAAATCGAATAGCAATCCTAGCTGTTACTTTTAAATCCAGGAAAAAGACAGGTCACACAGAGCAGAGTGCTACAGAAATGTAGAACATCTAATAAAAGCCCTGAAAGATACAATCTGAAGGAAGGAGCTGCTCTTTCTTCGCTCTGTATTTGTATCCACCCAACGATCAGCAACATGCCTACGTAGGATTACAGGAATTTCAGTGGACGCCGTGACCATAAGTAGAAAACTGGACAATGTCCAACTGCTGTGAACAGAGACATAAACTTAACAATTTCAACACAAGGTCCTTTTAGTGGCTGCTCTGGCTTCTGATCATTTCACTCAACACAGTCTCCATGAAGAATTGGAGTTCACAAGATACTTAATGGATCATGGGCTGAGATCTGCTGTTTCTGACAACAAGGATCAACTCCTTAATGCATCAAGTCCTTAAAGTGCTGAACATCCACAATTCTATGACCATTGGGCAAACCGTTACAGAAACTAGTATTATCCAAATGTCTACTTTTGTGTCTTATTTGCAGGAAAGTGTAAAATAGTTGGGTGGACACCTAACTATGCCGAGAACTACTTGTGTGCGACTGTGACTGGAAAGATCGGGTATGAATCTACTGACAGAACCTTTAAAGTACAACTACTGCTGATGCTGACGTTTGTTCTCTGTAACTTGTTTGGCGGAAGGTCAAAGCTCGAGTTTCTCAAGTATGGCTTTTATTTTGTCTCTAATAATCTGATTGCATCAGGCATGGCAAATTCTGCTGAGAGCAGATCTGAAACCCCAGAGCAGACGCCACATCCTGTTCTGTTGGAAGCCCCACTGGAATCATTGCCATTGGTAGCGCAGGCACTAACAACAGATATACAGCGTCTCCCACCAGTGTCACAGATCAGAGAAGCTGAGAGAGAAAGAGTGCAGCTCTCACATGGTTCAGCACAAAGTCCCACCTTCCACCTCCACGTCTCATGGGTCAACATCGGTGTACAGTGCTTTTACATAGGATTATCTTTAAAATCATCTTTACAATCCTCGAAAGGGCTCAGCGTGTCCCAAACTAAACTTAAGTTCCATGATGTATATTGCTTTCAGTGGGAGCAGTGTTTCACTTAAGTCTGCACCCCGATCAACAAGGCACAAGAAGTCACCTCCAACAACTGGAGCAGCCGTCATGTTCGCCCAATCCTGACGTGACTTCAGTGTCAACAAGAGCCCATAATGCAGCAGAGACACTGACCTCTAAACTACAACCCACACACCACTGTAGTTCCAGCTTTGATTAGGAAGGTCTTAAAGCAGCTGTAGCCTGTATTTTGACCCTGTGTTATTGTTATGTAAGGCAGCTGGTATTAACCATTTCAGCTTAAGTTACTATACATCCACCTATTGGAAAGTTATTGCATCATGAAGCTGTATACACCTGAGCATTGCCTAAGGGGTCAAAAAGAAAGCGTGGGAAAAGAATGGAAGCTTCCGCCCCCATGTGTTCATTTACTATGTTGGACAAAAGACATCAGCAACTAGTTCCAGGACTGAAGCAGAGATAACACTGTGAGCAACATGGTCAACAAGCCACTGTTTAGCTCAATCATTCTTGTCCAGAGGTGAGAGCAGGAAAGGTCTTTCTATTTAAGCATTAAAAACTAGCTGAAGAATATAAACATGTTGAATTACTGTGTCATCATGCTTCCATCAACAGATTCCCATGCTTTCGTGTTTTTGAAAAGTTCTGCCTGGAAAAAAGCAACAGAACAAAACATTCGGACATTGACTTCTAGTTTCCTGGTCGTCTGCAACGGTTGTTCTAAAGATGATGACAGGCATAAATCAAAACCAACACCTGACAAATGTACTACAGTGGGAACACATTCAAAATAGACTTCCAAAGACTCGAGACAGAATTCTTGAAGAGAGATAAGGGAGGCAGGGAGATGCTCCGAGGCTATGATGGCATGTTTTTGGCCCTGTCTCAGAGTGTGGCCATTTGGATCAGTTAAAACACATTTGAATTTAAAGACATGTTGTATAGCCACATTCATTAGAAGCTCACTACGCCCCTTATATGTCGTTATTTTCTCATTTCACACCTTCCACAGAATGTCCAAACCAAAGAAACCAATTACCACGTCACTCACAGTGTCAGTACTTCCACCCAAGAACCACAGTCGTACTTTAAGTGTATGCGTGTGGGCACATATGCATGAATCATAGTAGCTAATCCATGGTGCAAGGTTTGAGGGCATTAAGAGTACGTTTCAAGCAGTGGGCTGTCAGGTGGGACAAGTGTTTCTCAAGTTCTAGGTATAGAAAAAAACTTAAAGTGAAATCTCATAAAATGTAGCAGCAATACAACTTTTACCTTAAGGCTACATCTTACTAGGATCTGTCAATTCCTCTTTAGGCTAAAATGACAATAATTTCTGATATGACCTCAGTAAAAGCTATCATAACTCCAATCCTGGAATCGGGAGGGTGATGACATTCTGATTTTAAACTAGCAGGAACGGAATCTGTAGAATAAATGAGTTGGGGGTAGACCAATAGTTTGATTTAACACAAGATTACATGTCAACCTGCCATACTCACCCATTTCTGAAATTTTGGGAGTTGTTAGTTGTCGGTCTACTGAGCCCCGAATCTGAACATTGTAATATTCTCCTGGGTGTCCTGTGATGATTTAACTGATGTTTTTTAAGGTTTTGTTTTAGTGCCCTGACATAAATAAAATGTGTGGGAACACAATATTTTGACATGGAAATGTTGAATATCAGTAAGATTCTTCCCTGGAGAATATTGGTCCTAACAAATTAATCCTGTGTTCAACCTGAATTTAAATACAAGTCAGGTAAATAATATCACAATTTGAAATAATTTTGATTCAGGAATTGATAGCGGATTAAGATGGAGCATGATTCAGTCATGTTTGTAATTACTCTGAAGAAAATTACTGAATCCAGCTGAATCCAATTTGGCCTGTTGTATTGTTCCCAGTAAATTGGGTTTTAAGACTTTAAAAGATTATAAAGGGGATTAGAATGCACATCTCTATCTAATGCATATCTCTGATTTGGATATACAGCCGATAAGACCAGGTACTGCTGAGACAACTCAACTTCCACAGGTAAAATCCTCTTTTGGTGTTTGACCTGTGGCAGTTGACAGGTGGATCGATGGAAGCTTGGGTTCAAAAGAACTTGGCAATTTGAAAGACAAAGAAGTGCCTGCTCAAGTACATCTGTCCATATAAAGACATGCTATTCTAAAGTGTTGGAAGACAAGGTCAAATAGATTTACAAAGATTCACAACTTTCTGTTTTTCAATTCTTGCTTGTACGTGCAGACAGTTTCATGAAGGCAGCTCATTTGAATTTTTCACCTTTCTGCATATTTCAGTGTATGGAGCTACAAACCTATTGTACGCATATAAAGGTCTAAGTATCTCCCACTGCCTCCTCAAGCTGCTTTGTAATTGTGACTAAATATAGTTTGTGTCTGCAGTAATGACTGGAGGTTCAGATTGAGACGAAATATCTTATCTTTAATAAAAAAACACTCTCAAACAGGCACTTCTTCTGCTTTGAAATCACTTGCTTCGCATCTCAGCATTTCAAACTCATTTACATTACATTACACCAAAAGGGGCGCATTACCACCGAGTCTTTGAAGTATGTAAGCTAATCAGGTGACCTGAACCAACAGGCATCATGGCTGGGTTAAACAGATTAAAATTTTTGACCATGATCACAGTGCTCCTCAAAGGTCTGAGTAAGACTATTTTACTGTTAGGAATGGGCAGTGCAATTTTGCAGTGCACATGTAAAACATGATGATTTTACATTTTTGTCAGAACAAGTCAACATCCTGTAAGTCAAATAAGGTCAGAGTGTCTCATGAAGTCATCCTGTTTGATGAATTTTCACTGTTGGCCTGATCTTAGGCATTTTAACATTCTACTAGAGACAGTTGATCATTCTCTCATGAGTGAGCAGATATTTCTCACTTGTATAAAGAAGAACAACATTCACTATCACTCTAAGCAACATTTTAAGGTTATTTCTGCAGTTTGTTACTGAGTGGTGCAGCTCCAGGGCTCTGCGGGGGCAGAGAGTGAGTTGGGGGGTCGTGGTCTGTCAGGAGGTCCAGCTGTGGCCTCTCTGAGGCACAGGAATGATGTGGCGTTGGACTGAGTGACAGCCTCTCTGCCCACTGCTGCAGGGAGCTTAAAGGGGCATCAGCCTGGTGGTGTGGAACAGAAGGGGATTCAGGTCCTCGGCATGGACGGCCCGATGGAGCGATGGCTCTGAGCGACTCCGCTCGATTTTTGGCAGCAGTTCTTGTACCTGCTCAATGGCCACCAGGATCTGATGAAAGAAAACCAGATGTAAAGGAAAATGATGGTAAGGTTTAGGTATGAAGTTCATGGACATGTGGTTGTTATCAGGTCTGGATTTATAAACAACTGAGGATGTGCTTAATTTAATAAATGACAATATGTAAACATTATCAGCATTTATGAATAAGTAAAATAAGAAAATAATTTTTGTAATTTCACATTTGAGTAAGTCCAGTAAGTCATCACAGCTACCAGGCACGTGCACAGATAGACCCCTAGTGGTGCTCAAGCGCCTGTCCTTTTGCCCTGGATGAGAAAAGTGCCCCTTCTGCTGGAGCCCAACGTTTTTCTTCATTCATCAATATTTAAACAATAAAAATTATGCTCTCTGTCATCAATATCCCCCAAAAGTGTTTTGTTATCTGACGGGCATTTATTTGGGTTCTTGTGAGAATTCTGAACTCTGTTCTGTGTAGGAAAAGTCACCTTTAGTCCAGGAGATATTTTCATGCAAGCATTTATACTTCAACAGTTGAGATTTACAAATGAGGAATATTTTTGCTACATACAAACTAATGTATGTAGAAGGCAAAATATAATGCTCTATGATATAGAGCAGCATACAAAAAATGATTAATAAATAGGAAAATGTTATTAAGCTTTCCATTTGATTTTATTGGCATAATAATAGGCCCGTTGTTAATATTAACTACCCAAAGAGGGTTTCTGTATTGAAATGAAAGGTAGGTCTTAAGTTGAGCTAAATGACAGTCTGGTGAGGTACATTGATATTGGAAATGGTATATTATTAGTGTAATGCTTCAACTCAGTCAGAAACCATTAAAATAATTTATACTGTGTTCTCAGCTTTATGGAGATTCAGTAAGTCGCTCTTCATTATTATGCACAACATTGATTTATCTCATTTATCTCATTTCTTTCTGCTACAAAAGCAGAAAGAAAAGGAACTACAGCAGGCCGCTCAGGGTAGCAGCTCTCTTTTATCCTGGATCAGGCCATCTACCAGTAAAGGAAATGAGGGTGATGTATCACTACCTGATCCAGAGGAGCCCATCACAGATGAGGAAGGACAGACAGAGTATAGGACTGCATGTTCAGGGGCAGAAACAGAAACAGTGTTGCCGGAGGAGATGAGTCAAGAAGAGGGGGAGATGGCGGCAGCTCCCTTTACACCACAGGATGGGCATGTGGAGGAAAGAGCTGTTAAGGAAAATGAGGATGCTATTGCAAAAATAGCCACCATGCCATATCCTACAGATCCATCCCATGAAGCATTTCACAGCAGATGCAATGCGAGCTACATTGCTATGTGCTGCAGTTTAGGGCCCTGTCAACCAGATATGGTTTTCCCCAAAAATGCTGAGGGGCGGACATTCCAAAAGCATTGGTTTTCTGGAAATATGTGGCTGTGGTCCTGGCGGAAGCCTCAAAGTCAAATAAGCACTTTGTTACCTTCTTCAACCTCGAGGAGAAGCTGTATGCCTTTTGCAGCAGCTCCTCAAAGCGCCATGCCGCTTTAGATTGCAGAAATCACTGCATCCAGATCATTTTCAAAACTGAAGATCATAAAGAACAGGCTCAGGAGTCTCTGTGGGGAAGAAAGACTCTCCTGCTTGCCATTGAGCAAGACAAATAAACCAGAGTGAGTTCATAAAAATCTTCCAAGAGATGGCACCAAGGAAGATGCGCCTGTGAAGTAGCTGAACGATCCTCCTCCCTTCACCTCCTTTGTAAATAGTTGTATTTTTTAAAAATATTTTCATGATTATTTTTTGCCTGTTACCCTATTTGATTAGACTGTGTTGATTGTGTTTACAAAAATAAATATATACGTTAAGCTACTGTGTTTTTTCTGAATTTTCTGAATAATTTTGGCCCTTTTAGCCCTTTTTTTGGCTTGAGCACCTGCCCCCAAAAATGTCTGTGCACATGCCTGACAGCTTCAGAACATCCACAGTTACCTATACACCACTCACCTGTGGAAACAGGGGCCTCTCATCACGTTTAAACTTCAGGCAGTCAATAATCAGCCTTTTCATTGACTTGGGAGAGGTACTATACAGCTTACTGAGGTCGGGAGACAAGTAACCGCGTCCAACCATAAAGAGTATCTGAGTAAGGAAAAAAAACAGGAGACAGTTAGTGAAAATTGACAGCGCTTTAGAGGTAGGGATCTCTAAGGCCCTCACGAGACATCTCAAGTTTTATTTTATTTCTATACATGATTTTTCTTTATCACTACTAGAGATGCATCTTCACTAGCCTCATGATTTAGGCTTTAAAACGTATTTTAGTAGTACTGTTACTACACCTGTTGCTGTAATTTAGAGATTAAGGTTTTCAATTCAAAAATCAGACTACAACAGTCTATAACAGTGGTCAGTGCACTCCACATTGATTCAAGGATTCAAGTTTTTTTCTTAAAACAAACTGTGCTTAAGCTTCTGCCAGGAGGCGTGAGCAAGATCCAGGTTTAATGTCACCAGTTATATTTGAATTGTCATCTATGCGTTCGCTGAACAAAGATGAGTGTTGATTCCCTGTGATGATATAGCATCTAGAGATTGTTTCCTGTGTACTTCCCTATAGCATTGCATGGACATCTAGCATGGCATCTTAGCACAAAAATGTTCTTTGTCCCAAGTGGAAGTTTGAATTTGTTGTTGTCGTTAAGATGATAGCACCAGCACCAACTGTCAAGCATTAGAGCACTCAATTCCTAGTTACACACCTCAAAATCTAAAAAAACAGGGTGGAAGTTTGGCTGTTGCCATTTGCACAGGATCAAGCTTTAGGTAAAGGCAGTATGATCAAGTAAACCCAGACCTCTGCAACAATTGCTTCAGCGCACCTATTTGTCCCTTTGCGCACCAATTCACTCTTTACAGAAGTGTAGCCAAATGTAACACACTAAAAGTCAATTGAATTTATTGGCTATAAAAATCTAGTGTGTTGTGTAGGTTGTTGGTGTAAGCATGTACCACAGATGAAGTACTGTGAAGCAGGTTTAATCGCCATGCTCTGCAAAAATGATTAACTGGATGAACCAGATACCCTGCATTAGACTGAGTGGGTGTCATGTGAACACAGAGTGTGATGTAACCTGGTCTCTGTTGTTAATGTTGGTGTAAGGCAGGGTCCCTGACATTAGCTCAAACAGCACTACTCCGTAGCCATATACGTCAGACTGGAACGTATATGGGTTGCGGTCCTGCATTCGGATCACCTCAGGAGCCTGAGAAAAGAAAAGGGCAACATTTATATCACACACAAAATGTTTAATTTCTACATAATGTGTGCATGAAATCTAATTGAATCACCATTATATCCAAAGACAAACAGTAGATTTCTTTCACATTATCCAAAGTTGGGCAGTGATGACTCAATCACATTATGTTTGTTACATCATCCTCTTGAAGACACATAAAGGTTAATGGACCAAATCAATCATGTCACTGACTGAACTGTGCCACATCTGATTTTGTGGTCCAATATTATCATAGAAAATGTGGCTTCACACAAATAAAGAGCATTTACCAGCATTGACCAGACTGCTAATATTTCTTAATCCAAAAGATGGATAAGTTGAATTTTTATTAGAATTTAGATGGTTAGATATGACTGTCTGGTGAGAGTAGATCTATGATTAAAAGCAAAGAAGGAAAACATGAAATAGTAATTAAATGCAGAGATTGTGGCAAAAGCTTTGTCAGTGGATACTAGGTGTCACAAAGGAGATGTCTCTGTTGAATCCAAATTATACACAGTAAATGGGAAGCTCACCATCCAGAGAATGGATCCACTCGGCTGTTCCACCTGTTGAGAGCCACTCCACCGAGACTTCACTGTGGCCAAGCCAAAGTCGCCGATCTTAACAGTCCAGCCCTCATGGAGAAAAATATCTAGCAGCAGAGCTCAGGAATCATCTCAACACACAGTTGGTGCATTAATCCCATCAACAAAAACGGATTAATTCCGTCTTCAG